GGGAATGCAAACTGATACAGCCACTACAGAAAACAGTATGGAGATTTCTCAAAAAATAAAAACAGAAATACTATGTGATGCAGCTATTTCACTATTGGGTATTTATCCAAAGAATAGGAAATTCATCAATTCAAAAAGATTTATGTGGCCCAATGTTCATTGCAGCATTAGTCACAATAGCCAAGACATGGAAGCAACCCAAGTGCCCATCAATGCGGGCATGGATAAAGAAGATGTAGAATATATATGTATACACAATGGAATACTACTCAGCCATAAAAGGACAAAATCATGCCATTTGCAACAACATGGATGGACCTTGAGGGTATTATGCTGGGCTAAATATGCCAGACAAAGACAAACACTACATGATTTCTCTCGTATATGTAAGGCAAACACACAGATACAGAGAACAGATTGGTGGTTACCAGAGGGGAAGGGGGTAGGGTGTAGGGCAAAAAGGGTAAAAAGGCATGTATGTATGGCGATGGACAAAAACTAGACTATTGGTGGTGAAAACCATGCAGTCTATACAGAAGCTGAAATACAGTAACATAAGCCTGAATTTTACACAATGTTATAAACCAATGTCATCTCAATGAAGTAATTAAAAAAAAACACAAGTGCAAGTGTATCATTGAGGCTGGACAACCCCGGGCATTTTAGAAAATGAATTTAAATGCTCAGTGAGTTTATAAGGCCCTTGGAAACTCTCACAGCCATAGCTAGTTGTACATAGGAAGGTGCAAATAAAGACATGAAGAAGGAATACCAGCCCCCTAAGACAGGTCTCAATGACTTTACTGATCATTCTTCATTCCCAAGCAACTTGTTGCTATAGCTTACAAGTACATCTTGTTGTTTGTTATATAGTTGCTAAAGTTAAGTAATTATGACTACTGGGTAAATGCAGTTCTCTTCACTTTCTCCATCAGTTTGACACCTTTGCTGTCTCTGGAGGGACCCTATGTCCTTTTCCTAATGTCAACAAATCTTACCCAATTTATTTACCCAAACTGAGCTGACTCCCTAGAACACTGCTCATTGGCAAAGACAAACTCCGTAGGGAGTATTTCTGTCTCAGCAACACATCAATCCTTGTCATCCTTAAAATCCCATCAGAAGTGGATTTTGCTTCATCAGTTGATCTGCAACAGTGAGTAGTTAAAGGGTAGACTTCAAGCCTCTTTCAAGTCTTACCCTCTCTTCAGCATACAAATGTACTTATTTTGTTCTCCTCAATTTCCTGTTTTTCCTCCTTTTCTTTTGGACTTCGTCACAAGAATAAGAGGGAGAAACAAGACATCTTTTTCTCTTTATACAATCACTGTCTTCTCTATTCATCAAGGAAATGAAGACAATATGTGACTAGCCAATGCTGAGATCTCACATGAATCCACCCCAAACCCCACTGTTTTTCCCTTATTTCTGTGGCGCAACAGCTCTTATCATTGTCTGTCTCCTGAGACTGTGCAGGACAAACTGAACATAACAAACAGCAAACGAGGAGCGATGTTCATAATGTTTGTGTGGGCTGCCTGATACTGGTTCGTCTGTTTTCAGCATCCTGAGTTTCTGGAATTGGTGTGTGTGTGTGTGTGTCTGTGTGTGTGTCTGTGTCTGTGTCTGTGGGTAGCATTGTGGGGTGTCAGGGGAGTGTGATAGTGAATCACACTTTCATCTTTGCTTTCATCTTTCACTTCAACTGTGTTTCCTACTTATGGACTTCTCCATTTCTACAGTGTAAATTCTCCCTTTAACACTCCAAAGGCTGAGTTCCCCGAGGTTTTTCCTGGAAAATTTGTGATGCCCATGTCAACATAGCTCTTCGTCTACCTGGATTGAAACCATTCTTTGTGGCTTATCAGCCAGTCTAGTCGTTTCTCAATTCCCTTTAGTTGAAGTTGTCTGGACTTTGACTTGACTGAGGAAACCTCTACTGGCTTAGTAGGGCCTTAACTGGATCTTTTAATTGAGAGTCAAGTAGCATCCCACAAGGCTTCTCTGGAAGTTGAGATAAAACATCCACTGGAACCAAGGGAGTGCTTTATCACTATTTTGGTTCACATTTTTTAGTGCGAAGGGAGGGGTTGATAATATGTAGATTTCCAAATAAGACTTCCCAGAAATTCTGATTCCATCAGTCTGGTAAGGGGCTAGAACATGAACATTTCCCCAGAAACCCTGATGATTCTAAGACAAATGATTTTCTCTCTCACTCAGCAAAACTCACCTTGGACTTTCCCCTATTGATCAGATGACTTAGACTGTTTGTAAGGGAATTGAATGTTTTTTTGACGTGCAAGTTACATAAAGCCATATTTGCAATTTTTTGAGAAGTTTATTTTCTTTGTGTGCACTTCAACTTTTTAAAGTATATAACTGAAATATACAGGCATACATTGAAGGTATTGAGGGACAAGTTCCAGACCACGGCAATAAAGGGAATATCACAATAAAGGGATCCCACAAACTTTTTGGCTTCCCAGTGCATACAAGAGTTATGTTTACACTGTACTGTACTCTATTAAGTGTGCAATAGCATTATGCCTAAAGAGGATTGTACGTACCATAATTAAAAAATACTTTATTGTTAAAAAAGTTTACCTATCATCTGAGCCTTCAACGAGTTGTAATCTTTTTGCTGGAGGAGGGTCTTGCCTGGATCATGCTGGCTGCTGACTGATCAGGGTGGTGCTTGCAGAAGGTTAGGGTGGCTCTGGAATTTCTTAAAATAAGACAACTATAAAGGTTGCTGCATTGATTGATTCCTCCTTTCACAAACGATTTCTTGTTTGTAGCATGAGATGCTGTTTGATAGCATTTCACCCACAGTAGAGCTTGTTTCCAAATTGGAGTCAATCCTCTCAAACCCCGCTGCTGCTTTTTCACCTATGTTTATGTAATATTCTAAATCTCGTGTTATCATTTCAACAATCTTTACAGCATCTTTACCCAGAATAGATTCCATCTCAAGAAACCACTTTCTCTGCACATCCATAAGAAACCACTCCTCGTGCATTAATCACGAGATTTCAGCAATTGGGTCACATCTTCAGGCTCCCCTTCTAGTTCCAATTGTCTTGCTGTTTCCACTACATCTGCAGCTACCTCCCCCCCTGAAGTCTTGAACCCCTCAAAGTCTCCACAAAGGTTGGAATCAACATCTTCCAAACTCCTGTTCATGGTGATATTTTGACCTCTTCCCATGAATGACGAATATTCTTAACAATTCTAGAATGGCGAATCCTTTCCAGAAGGTTTTATTTCAATTGACTTTGCCTAGATCCCTCAGAGGAATCACTACCTATGACAGCTATAATCTTAGGAAATATGTTTCTCAAACAATAAGACTCGAAAGTCAAAATTACTCCTTGATCCGTGGGCTGCAGAATGGATGTTGTGTTAGCAAGCGTGAAAATGACATTAATCTCATTGTAAATCTCCATCAGCACTTTTGGGTGACCAGGCGCATTGTCAATGAATGGTAATATTTTGAAAAGAATCTTTTATTCTGAGGAATGGATCTTAACAGTGGGCTTAAAATATTCAGTAAACCATGCTATAAATAGATATACTGTCATCCATGCTTTGTTGTTCCATTTATAGAGCACAGGCAGAGTAGGTTTAGCCTAATTCTTTAGGGCCCTAGGAATTTCAGAGTGGTAAATGAGCATTGGCTTCTACTTAAAGTCACCAGCTGCCTTCTCCCCTATCAAGTGAATCAGATTACCCTTTGAAGCTTTCAAGCCAGGCATTCAGTTCCCTTCTCTAGGAATGAAAGTTCTTGAAGGCATCTTCACCTTCTATTTCATCTACGCTGAAAATCTGTTGTTTGGTATAGCCGCTCTCATTAATTACCTTAGCAATACCTTTGAAGCACAGCAAAGTGAGGTGCAATACAACGAGATGTGCCCGTGTGGTGGTTGTAACTTAAGGTTATAGAACTTCTGGGATTCTCTCATTTATGTAACATTCAAGAATAGTTTTCTCAGGCAGAGCTAATAAAGAAATGCTCGGCTGGTCTGATTTTGGAATAGAAATGTCTTTAGACTATTTTTATTTTGACTTTCTTACTTAGATTTATTTCAGATTTCTAACAAACTTCTACTGGAATATGGAGGAATTGCTATGCGGTATCTTGCAGCTAAATGAGAGCAACATTTCCAAGGCAAAACCAATTGGTATCACTCACGCAGAGCATTTTCCACAATGCATTTGAAACAGTGTATCAGATCCCAAAGCCTCAGAAACTTCTTTCAAATTTAGCAGATTATTGAGGTTGGCCTGGTGGCAGAGAGGGTAAGATCGTGTGTTACGCTTCTGCAGCCCAAGGTTCGTGGGTTCTGGTCCTTTCTGTGGACCTAGCCACCACTTTCAAGCCATGCTGAGATGGCATCTCACATGCAAAATAGAGGAAGATTGCCAACCGATGTTAGCTCAGGGCCAATCTCTCTCACACACACAAAATAAGAAGTTAGCAGAGTATTCATGTTTCAGGAAAAAGAAGAAATAAAGAGCATATTCATCAAAGAATTTTCTATTTCTATAACAAAAAATAAAGTGTAAAGAATAAAAATATAAAATCCTAAGAAACCGTATGTTAAATGGATTAGAAGCATGGACTCTGTGGCCTAACTCCCTGGCATCAAATCTTGCCGGCTCTGCCAGCTGGGCCACCTTGAACACTTTGCAGAAACTCCTGTGCCTTAACTTCCCCAACTGTATGTTTAGAATCATGATAACACCTCCCTCATGGGGATTTAGAAAAACTGATTAAACTCCTAGTATCTTAGTTTTCTCATCTTTCAGACAGTGATAATAACAATACCTCTAGCAACGTTGGGTTGCTGTGAAGAGGATGGTAAATGAGTTGATACACATAGGACATTTAAATGCTGCTTTGCATACAGTGAACACTCAATAAGTGTTAGTCATTATTACAAAATACTAAGAACTTGAAAATCATTTTATCTGTTTTTGCTCATAGGTGAATAATTATGGACAACACAGATGCATATTTATTGAACTTTAAAGGCTATTATCTTATACGTTCTACTGCTAATACTGACCTACTGAAAAATCTAGAGGAATTTGAAGTTAGACATGATGATGTCTTCATAGTCACATATCCAAAATCTGGTAAGTTTGAGGAGTGGGCCACCTGTTCTCATCTTCACTCTGGCTTGGTAATACATGTGTACAGAGGTGCCCTTTTCTACACGTTGACAGTAGCCCAGTCTATCTTTAGACGATTATTTAGAATCAGAAAAAAGCTTAAATAAATCTCAGATCTCTATGATGTAAGCTTATTTGAGCTCCATATATTGTCATTTCTGATGACACATATGAAGAAATCAAATACTGAGCCAAGGGTGATACTTGGTAATTGCTGACCTGTTGGCTTGGTCTGACACTGGAAGAAAATATATTTAAAAATCCAGCAGGATCCTTCCTAGTAGCATTTCACTGTCAGAACTAACTCCTAATATGCTCTTCAATTGTTCTAAATGCTTTGTATTTCTCTAAGATAATGAAATTGTTTTGGACTAAAGTAAATTGCCCTCAAATCAAACATTGTAAAATTAATCATTTTTTATATTGTGGTCTCTGGAACATAAGGTGATTGGTGGCCGTTGATATGATGTTGTATGGGGTGGTTAATGTTGCTCAAAGACACACTAGAGTCAGCATAGAACAAGTTATTCCTGACTTTCATGAAAATGCTCCAGTCCCTCCCTTTTTCCATTTACTTTGGAATTCATGACCTTGTGCACTTTCCCCAAATTAGCAGCACATTACCTTATCCCTGGTGTCTTCCTCTCTGCTCCACATATGACTGATATTAGGGTGTTTTCCTCTCTTAGATGTGGATGAAATCTCAGTTTTCCTAGTTTTAGTCCAGCACTGCAGTCATAAAAGAGTCTTTCCTTTACCTTTAGTCCAGCCCAAGTATTTGGGACACCACACACCAGTCCTCAGTCCAGCCTGCTGGCTCCTTGATCATCTTGGAAAGAAGATTAGTGAGTCTCCCCAGGATTCACCATACATTGTACCAAATCTATCATGTAGATAAATCAGTTAGGTAGTGACATTTGTAAGATTTTTGGCATCTCACATCCTCTTAGAACTTGGTGATATCTTCATGAACATAGATACAAAAATCCTAAACTGAATATAAGCAAAGCAAATACAACAATGCAAAAAATACTGTATGACCAAGTTGGGTTTAATTCAAGAGTCAAAATTACTTTAAAAATTTGTTAATGTAGTTCACCCACATGAGGAGAGTATGGGACAGAGCCGGAATTATCACCGCAATAGATGCAGAACAAGCATTCAATAAAATTCAGCATCCATTCATAATGGAAACTATAAGCAAACTAGGGAGAAAAGGAAACTTCTTTAACCCGATAAACAGAATCTACCAAACACTACCACAAACATCATATGCAATAGTGAAACATTTAAAATAGTGCATTTAAAGTCAGGAACAGGACAAGAATGCTTGCTAACACCACTTTTTATAGGGGAAGACATATGCTACACAAGTAGAAAAAAAAGATGTGAAAAGAGCCTTGACGTTTAGTTGTCTACTTCCAAGAGATCAAGCACTAAGAAAGGAGACTAGGGAAGGAGAAACAGAGGTAGCGCAGAAAATCACAGAAAGGGACCTGGCACGAAGTAGAGGAAACAGAAGGAGGAAGGATTAGTCTGAATCACTCCTATCGTGGACTCAGAACAAGCACAGCTGCTCAGAGTGACAAAGGAACTGAGCCCTTGATTTATCTTTACTCATCTTAATGTAAAATACGAACAAACACAAAAACTCGAACAAATTCATGTGTGTACTGAGAGTGGTTAAATACAAAGCGTTACTACTGAGAGTTATTAAAAATTTATTCTGAGTTGAAAAGAAAATTATTTATTTTTACAGGTACCGTCTGGGCTCAGCAGATATTAAGCTTGATTTATTTTGAGGGACATCGTAACAGAACTGAAACGGTGGAAACACTTGATAGAGTCCCCTTCCTTGAACATGGTGTACCCAAAATGAAGCATCAGAAGAGACCATCGCCTCGTCTCTTCGCGTCCCACCTCCCATATTATTTAGCACCAAAAGGTCTCAAGAACAAAAAGGCTAAAGTATGTCACAGAAGTAGCTTATGGACCTTTTGCACAAACAGAAGTACTTTCTTCCAATTTTGTTCTCCAGCACCACTCATTCACATTCTTTTAAATATGATTATGACAATTTTTATGATTTTGTTTTACACATTAAAAATATAAGTATATATATTATACACATATTTATAAGTATATAAGTATTATAAGTATATACATAGCTTGTGTCAAGACACACTTTTTCTGCAGTGCAATTATATAACATACAGCCAAACTGGTTTTATGTCAGCGCATGAAATTCTATTCTTTTTAATGGTTAATAAATAGCATTTTATATGGCTACACAATATTGAATGTGTATTGATGGACAGGTAGGTTGCAGCAAATGCATATATCACGTTGAAGTAAGCATTCTTACAGATCTTTACACTTTTGTGATCTAGTGAAATAAGTGGAGTTTTCAGGTTAAAGTGTCCAAATATTTTCAGTGTCAGTAGGTATGATCTACTTCCCTTCTGTAATCTATCAACTTACTCCTCATCAAACATCAAATAAACATGCTTTTTCCCTCACACGCTCACCAGTGATTGGAAAGATCAATCTTTGCTAATGTGCTAAGTAAAAGCAATCTAATTCTTGAGTAATTTGGAGTTCTTTTGGTTTTATTGCGTTTGATCATGTTTTTATGGTCTTCCAGCCTTGAAATATTCTTTATATTCTTTGCTATTTTTCTTTAGCTTGCCTTTTATTTACTGTTTTGCAGAAGCATTTACATGGGGCAAATATTTTCCTAGTTAATAGATTACCTTTGAGAATTGTTGAATCCTTTGATCTTATGCAAGCCATCTATCAATCTTTCCTTCATAACTTATGGCTCTTGAGTCTTGCTAAGAACACACTTCTGCACCACAAAGATTATGTAAATACTTTCCAGGGATTTTTTTCTAATAATGTTTTTGTTTGGCACATTTAATTGTAATTACATTTGTTATTGCATGTGATTCAAAATATGACTATTGTGTGGCATTTGCCAAGGGCATTAGCCAATTGACCCAATGCGATTTGTGTAAGCATTTACTCTTTCCCTAAAGTTTTGAAGTCGACATTTTTGACAAAGTTTCCATAGTCCCTACCTCTGATTTCTGCATTCTTTATTCCAAAATTTGCTAGCTCTGTTTAATACGTGGCAGTTCTTCACCGTTTTAAATATTGTAACTGATAAGGCAAACTTTATTTTTTCATGTTAATTCCTCCAATGATTTTTAGATGCTAGTTGGAATTGATTAAATATTAGATTAATTCTGAAACAATCATTAACTCTGCAATATTCCAACATCTACCCAGCATCGCTCTATTGCTCTTTATTTGTTAGGTCTACTTTCACGTCCCCAAAATGTGTTATGTGGTTCTTCGTATGTTCTTTACACAATTTTTCCTGAATTTCCAGTTTTTGTTATTTCTTTAGCTGGTAAATACTAGACATTGTTTTCACTACTGACTTTCCTATTAGTTATTGCCATTATAAAGAAAAAGGCTTTGGTTTTGTACTCTCTTTTGTCCCTTAATCTCTTTGATTAGATTTGTTAATTTTCCCTTTATTCTCTGGAATATATTTCATCTTAAATTATAGTAAATTTTATTTTCCTTTACTTTCTAATATTTACACTTTTTTCTATTTCAATAGTTAAAATCTGCAAAAAGAGATAGAATGATAGAGGTGATAAGGAATCTTCTTCTTTTGTCCTTCATTCTCTAGGATTTTGAGTATCTTTCCTTGTTTGTGTTTTGTTTTGTTTCACAATTGATTTTTGAGGCATGAAATACTGAAAAATTTGTTTTTGCTATTCTTGTTTACTTGTAGTTTTACTTTTATCTTTTTTTCTTCATTCAGAAAAGTTCTCATCATATAAAATGTCTTTTTTGGGGGCAACTCTGAAGACGCCATAGTTTTTCCTCCTTTATTCCATAGTAAAATTAAATCCACTAATAATTTAATGATGTCCTGTTTCTGGAACAAATCTACTTGCTACGACTGTAATCCTTGTTTCACATAGTGCGGGAGAGTTTTGTTAACATTACTCTGGAATTTAATCTGTCATTATTTTAAAAACTAGACTTCAATTTGCAATGATTGCTCTGACTTTCTTTGATTTTAGTATCACTGTGATTCTAGTCTATAAAATACATTTTGAAGCCTTTTGTATTTTTGCTAAGTTAAATAGTTTGAAAAAATACAAAATAACCGAATCTTTTGAAGATTTGATTAAAGTCCATTATAAATGTATCTGATCGTGTCAGCTTCATGGTTCTACAACATTTTCATTTTTCTCATCAGTTTATTTAATTAGTTTCCTTTCTCTAAACAAATATTATAATACTTTTCAAAGTAAATCATCCCCATTTCATCAATATTTCAAAACATGGAAAATAATTACACCGTATAGTCTCATGACCTGGTGAGTTTTCTCTAATTTTGTGATTACATCTCTTTCATTCATTTGTAATAAAGAGATATTTCATATTTTTTCCTAATTAGATTGTTTTGGATATCAGCAGTTTTCTATGATATTGTATTAGGTTTTTTCCACCAAAGAACTAGTTTGTTTTTGAAACATAACTTTATGTAATTCATTGATCTCTGCTTTTATTTTAATTCATTATTTCTTCATATTTTGTTCGCATTTCTTTTTCTGACCTCTTTAATTAAATGACTAGAATTATTGATGTCCAATATTTACTTTTTAAAGTGATGACTGTCCTTTTTAATCTAGTTATATTCTAGTTTAGCCATATCTTTTAGTGTAGCTAAAATTACGGTTTCAGCATAAAGTGGGATAACTGCTTTGTTTAAATCTACAGAATTAAGATCTACGTTAATATCTATATAATATATTAATTGTAGATCTATTATTTCAGTTTTAGTTTTCTTTTTTTTTTTCTTTTCTTTTGAGGAAGATTAGCCCTGAGCTAACTACTGCCAAACCGCCTCTTTTTGCTGAGGAAGACTGGCCCTGAGCTAACATCCATGCCCAGCTTCCTCTACTTTATACGTGGGATGCCTACCACAGCATGGCTTTTGCCAAGGGGTGCCATGTCCTCACCCGGGATCCAAACCGTCGAACCCACCGCCGAGAAGCAGAACGTGCGAACTTAACCCCTGCGCCACTGCGCCGGCCCGCAGTTTTAGTTTTCTAATTGGTCCAAGTCATTCTGAAGATTTTTTTCCCCAAGTGTGTTTATATACTTTTTCTAACTTGGTCCTCGATGATTATTAGTAATTATTGCACTATTCTTGGGGAATGGTATTATAAGAGTTCTAATTTATGAAATTCATTGAGAAGTTTTATGGTCAGCTACGTGATCAATATTCAATAGTTATTCATATTCAATATTCAATAGTAGCTCCAAGCATACATGAGAAAATGTTGGATATTCCATATATGGAGCATTAACACACATATGTAAAATTTTTTGTCAAATAGTTTTGTAAATTATTTCTGGTAATCCTTTTATACTTATGTTTAAAGAAATTGTGTGTAAATCTCCCACCACGATTTTCCCTGAATCAAAAACTTTGAAGACTTATTAGAATTTGTGCCACTTATTATTTTTATTACATTATTCAGTATACAAAGATCCCTGTTACGTTGGTCATTGCAAACAAATTATATGTTGTTCTCTTAAATCACTTGGCTTTACATTTTACTGCACTTTATATTGTAACTTATTTTCTTTTTCCCTGGGGTTTTGCCATATGCCCTTGTTTATTCTGGTTTTTCAATATTGTTTTCCACTGGTGTATAATTTTACATGTTGTGTAAGTAATTCTATCAGATCTATCCTTTTCTTTCACTGAAAAGTTAGGTTATTCAATTTTTGTTATCTAGGATATATTGTCACGAAGCAGCTTATATAGTGAGAAAGTAGTGACTGTTAATTCTTCACAGCAACTGGTTACAATATTAGAATTTTCTAAATGACAGAGATTTGGTCAGTGGTTCCTTCAGATCAATCTTGAGAAACAGGTTAAGTTTTGCTTGTTAGTTTCAGAGTGATAAGCAAAAAATGACCCAGGTCGAGTTCGCTTTGCAAACTGAGCTAAATTAAGCTTTGCTTATATGACTAAACTGGTCTTGTCTGCTCAGGGAATTTTCAAGTCTGGTCTCTGGTTTTACTTTTAACATTTTAAGTCCTTTTTTTCCCGTTTAGGAAATCTTTCCCTTCTCCAAGACCAGATATATATTGTTTACTTTTTAGATGTCAAAGTGTTGCATTCATATTTAAAACCTAATCCATTTGTAAATGATTTCTGTTTATGGTGTGAGGAAAGTCCACTTTGTTTTCTTTTTCCTGTATGGATAATTATTTGCTTCAACATCATCTGTTGCATAATTTTCCCCTTAATTTTGTGCTGAGAAATATTCACCCTAAGCTAACATGTGTTGGCAATCTTCCTCTCTTTTTCTTTTCCTCCCCGAAGAGCAAGGCATAGTTGCATATTCTAGTTGTAGGTCCTTCTAATTATTTTACGTGACCCACCCTCAGAGCATGGCTACAGAGAGACTACTGGTGTGGTTCCATGCACAGGAACCAAATCCAGGCCACCAAAGAGGAGTGTGCCAAACTTTAACCACAAGCCGTCAGGGCTGGCCCAGTCTTTCCTTGTTTTCCCTGCTCTCCAATTCTACCTTGGCTGTATATCTGATATCACTTAATGCTCAGGGAGGGTACGTTGAAACACCTTCTATGCAAGGTAATTTGCAATATTCATCAGCATTACAAATAAATAATTTCAGCTTTAGAAGTTATTCCTATAATCTTGCATATGTGAAACGTCATGGGAATAAAGTTATCTTTGCAACAGCATTTGTAATAGCAAAACGTTGTGAACAACCTAAATTTCCGTGAGTAAACTGGATGATATAAATTATTATGCATTTATATAGTGAAATATTATTCAGATGTTAAAAATAACTTTAAAGATAACCAATAACTGATAGGAATTTACTATCTCCTTTGCAGATTCTTTACATCTACAGAAACCCCAAGGATGTTTTGATCTCATATTTTCATTTTTCAAATATGATGGTTATGTTAGAAGCTCCGGAGAATATAGAAGATTTCATGAAAAAGTTTTTAGATGGAAAAGGTAACTGAATTTATTCACCGAAAAACATGTTTATGAGGCAATGTTGCTATTTAGCCAAATTCTCTAGCTTAGGGAACATAATTTAGAGAGTTACAGAGGGTAATGATAGAAGGTAGAAGGGACATAACTGGTTACTATCGTTTCTCAACTGAATCTGCTACCTAATGGCTTTTCCGGCCTCACTGGGACCACTGTGGGAATTGTCCAGGTTGCAGAGGCATATTGTTTATGAAAAATTTTGACCCAAGCCTAGGAGAACCAGAAATATTCTAGCAGTTCAAAAGAGCTCGATCCATGTGTTCCAGAAGAGCTACTGCTGAGGGTGGGTGTAGGATCTGTGCTCTGTCATGGCCTGTGGTGGCCCTTATGGCAGCTGTGGAATTTTCACTCCAACACTAAAGAGGAAAGATTGATGCAGGAGGACTGTGGACTGACAAATTAGGGTTCTCACTCACTTAGCAGATTACATTCAGGTCTTGTCTTGTTGCAGATAGCTAAAATTGCTATGCAGAGACTTTAAAACAGACAGCAGGAGGAGAAATAAAGACGTATGTTTTTAGGTGGAGGAAGAAGGAAAAGGAAGGGGCTTACCTTAAGGAAACCTTCAAAATTAGTTCTTTGGGCTTCCTTTTCTTTGCATTGCTGCTTTCCTGAATACATGGGAAAGGCAAGTTTCTGCTAAAATCATGTACTCGTTTCCCAAAACGCCATTTTACAAAGGTAGCATAGAAGTCCAGGGGTGGGAGCTTTATTTTTCTTTCTGAGGACTCCAGAGCAGAAAAGAAACACAGTTTACTTTGCTCCTCAATGAGTGCAACATCTTCACCTCATTAGTTCTTAAATTTTCCCACAGTGTCAGGAAGCCTTTGGTTTGATCACATCAGAGGCTGGTATGAGCACAGACATGAGTTCAACATTCTGTTCATGATGTATGAGGAGATGAAGAAGGTAAGAGGAGAAGATTATTTTTTAAAATACTATTTCTTTAAAACTCTTTCTTATTTTTGTTTCAGTGAACCACTTTCCCCTCGTTATCTTCATATCTAACTACTTCTCAGGCTTCTTCGTAGGTTTCTAGTATCCTGCCCATCCCTTAGTTGCTGGTCTTCCTCAGGGTTCTCTTCTCACCGTAGACAGGCACCTTTTGTGATTCCTTTCCATGTAACCATCTGTAGCAATGAAGGAAAACTCAAATGTCCAGAGCAGCCATAGCTTGAAAAAGAGAAAGGGCACTATGGAGCCCTGGGTAAGAAGTGACTAAGATATGGGTAATTAAACAGAGGTGAATGTGTGCCCTGTGATGCAAGTTCTTCCTGTTATTTTAAGAGAATCTTGAAAAGTAGCTTTCACATGAAATCATGGAACGTTTACCCATTGGCATCCATTCAAAGCTGTCATAAAACATTGCATTAATGAAATGAGACACATTTGACATTTACTATTTTGTGATCTCTGATTGATATGTTGATTCACTAATATGTAATACATTATCTCATATCTTCAAAAATTATTGAATGCTTACCATGTGACAGGCACTAAATTATGAGAAAAAGAGGATGGAACCTTTTATTCATTGAGCTTATAAGCCAAAAAGAAAGACAGGTATTCCCCAAGCAGGTATCCATAATTCAAAAGTGTGATAAGTGTTGGTAAGAAAAACTGCAGGTATGAGATCAGTATATGGAATAAGGGGATCTGGTATAGTCAAAGGTGATAGGCAATGTTTTCAGGAAAGTAACAGGACAAGGGCAAGCTAATGAATATGAGTTAACAACAGAAAGAGAGGTAAAGGAGAATTCTAAGCAGGGAAAGTGAATTTGCTAATTCCCTGAAGCAGTAAAGCACATGACACCTTTGAAGAAGGGAAGAAAGAAGTTAAAGAGCAAGTGGAAGTAATAAAAGATTAAGATAGAGGTTTCTAGGAGCCAGACTTTGCAAATACTGTAGAGAATGTTGATGTCAGTGATTTCTTTTATCCCTTATAAAAGAATAGCAGTGTGATAGAATTAATAATTTTTAAAATATCATCCCATTAGTGGATTGAAAAATGATAATAGCGAATATAGGCTAACTTGTTAAAGACTGGTGTGCTAATCCACTGAAAATCAATGGTGCCTTGGATTCAATGATATCATTGAAATTGGAGAGAATGCAGAGTTTAAGGCATATTCAGGAGGTAAAGAGGAGAGGGACTATTGATTGGAAAAATGAGGAAGAGTGAGGCGTCAAGGATGCTTGCTATATTTCTGGCTCATATGTCTCTGTATATAGTGGTGTCATCACGATGGTACTTAGGCAACACTGAAGCAGGACAAGGTTACAGAGAGACGATCATGAGGTTGGATTTGACCTTAGAGTTCAAGGTGACTTAGTAGTATCCAAAAGAAGGTATTTGGAAACACAAGTCTAAAGCTCAAAGAAGAAATCTGGCAAAAAATATCAATGATATTAATTTTGGCCGTCATCATTGTATAGAACATGACTGAAACTATGAAAGTGGATTAAATTGGGGGTGGGAAGAGAGGAGATAATGGGTGAGGCAAGAAGGCAGGGAGCGAGAAGGAGGGAGAGAGTGAGAAGAAAATAGGAACTAGAATCAATTACTGAGAGACCTTAAGGTATAAAGTTTGAGTTAGAGAGGAACGAGCCCACCAAGGAAACAGCAAGGAGAAATCAGAGATGTAGAAAGGAAACAAGGAGTGTGCCGTGACCTTGAAGCCAAGCAGATGTGTCAGGAATGATCTTCATGATCCTTTTCAGATATTTAAGGCTGCTGAGAAGTCCAGTAAAAAAGAGAGAGTTAAATGTCCATTACATCCAGAGACGTGAAGTGTCGTATGAGGTCCAGTAAACCAGAGTGGAATGGGTTGGGGAATAAATTGGTGAATCCTGAATATATATCAGCAGCCCAGACACGTATAGAATGTAACTGTCTTTTATATACCTACTTTTGTATCTAATATTTGGGCTTCAAACTAATCATGTCCAAAATAGAGCTTATTACCTCCCAACAAAAGCTGCTCCTCCTCCCATGAATTGCACTGTGACTCAAGTGACCTAAATCAGAAAGCAGGCTTCCTACTTCACACCTCCTTCACCTTGCATCTTCATTTCTTTAATCAATTACTGAGTTACATGTATTCTTTTTGAAACTTTTGTGGGAGACACAACTTATCTCCCTCCTTTTGCCTCTTCCCTAGTCAGGTCACCACCATCTTTTGCTTACTTTCTATGGCAGCCTTCCTAATTGGTCCACCTACCTGAAATCTCACCTCACTTTTGTTTATTCTCCATTCTTCAACCAGTTATCATCTCAAAATGCAAATCTGATTCCTTCCCTATTTTCAAATTTGAGTTCCTCCGTAAGAATGTACTCACCAAAAAAAGCGTTCATAAACAAAAGAACGTACAGAAAATTTGGACAAAGAGACCAACCCCAGAGTAAACTATGCAAAATCTCTTGAATATTTCTCTGTTCTGCCATCAATATACTATCACCAGGTATCACCTTTCTCTTACCTTCCGCCAAGTAGCCCCTTGTTTATGTATTTTTGATGTCGATTTTTTCACAGCCCTTCAATTTTTTGTTGTTGTTACCATATAATAGAAAGAGAATCTTCCTTCCAATTCCCCCGTCAGTGAAGATAGATCTTAGTCTGGGGTTTGCCCCTTGGGCGAGTGGTTAAGTTCGCGCGCTCTGCTGCAGGCGGCCCAGTGTTTTGTTGGTTCGAATCCTGGGCGTGGACATGGCACTGTTCATCAAACCACGCTGAGGCAGCGTCCCACATGCCACAACTAGAAGGACCCACAACGAAGAACATACAACTATGTACCAGAGGGGCTTTGGGGAGAAAAAGGAAAAAATAAAATCTTAAAAAAAAATTTAAAAAAAAAAGATAGATCTTAGTCAACTCAAGTTTTTCTCTTAAAGCACTTATAGAAAAAGATCGCAATTTTCTCAAACAATGCAGTGGAATTGCTCTCTTTATTTCCTTTTTGGAATGTTCATTGTTACTGTATAGAAGTGCAACTGATTTTTGTGTTGTTTGGGTCCTGCAACTTTGCTGAATTTGTTTATTAGTTCTAACAGTATTTCTGTGGAACTTTTAGAGTTTTCTCTTTATAAAATCATGTTGCCTACAAACAGAGATAATTTTATTTCTTCCTTTCCAATCTGGATGTCTTTCTTTCTTTTTCTTTCTCAATTACTCTGGCTAGGTCTCCCAGTACTCTATTGAGTACAAGTGGCAAGAAGTGGCATCCTTGCCTTGCTGCTGATCTTAGCAGAACGCCTTTCAGTCTCTCACTATTGACTACGAAAAGTTCTTGGATATTGTCAAATGTTTTTCAGCATCAATTGAGATGATTGTGCATTTTTCCCCTTCATTCTGTAAATGTGGTGTAGCACATTGATGAATTTTCATATGTTGAAACTTCTTTGCTTTCCAGCAGTAAATCCCACTTAAAAATGGCATACAATCCTTTCAGTATGTTGTTGAATCTGTTTTGCTAGTAATTTGTTGAGGATTTTTGCATCTTATCTTTCATAAGTGATGTTCTTCTTTAGTTTTCTTTTCTTGCAGTGTCTTTATCTAGCTTTGGTATCAGGATAAATCTGGCCTTATGAAATGTGTTTGCAAGTATGTTCTCCTCTCCAATTTTTTGGAAAAGTGTGAGGATGGTTGCTGCTAGTTCTTTTTCAAATGTGTGGTGAAGTCACCGGCATAGCCCTCTAGACCAGCGCTATTCTTTCTTGGGCCCATTGTAACTAACTACTTGCTTTATTCTTTCACTCATGAAATTAAAAATTCTTAACAGGCACAGATAGCATACTATTGTTCTCTTAAACGTCTTCAGCACTTTGCACAGTTTCTGAAAAATACAACGTATTCTAAAAGCATTGGTTGAAAGAATGAAGGTGAGCTATTGTTATAAAATCAAGCAATAGGAAGCTCTAACAAAGCTGAAAACCAAAGCACGCTTTTTCATAGAAGGATAAATGAAGTTATATATCTTTGTCAAACTTTAGACTTAAAATAAGGCCAGGTATCTTTAGTTTTCCAAAATGTGATAAAGATGTTCAATGGTAACTATATGGTCCTTTTAAACTGAATACTTTCTCATACTCACAATTCCTTCAGGATCTCAGAAGTTCTGTGCTTAAAATCAGCAGTTTTCTTGAGAGAGAACTGAATGAAGAGGATGTGGAAGCTGTTGTTAAACAGGCAACATTTGAGAACATGAAGTTTGATCCACAAGCAAATTATGAGCAAATTCTAAAACATGACTTGGGGAGAAGAACAGACGAGGGAAGTTTCTTGCGCAAAGGTGATAAGCAGTGGTTTACAGAAGCAAAACTGTTGAGAGTTCCCTTGAGTCCTTGGCCCCCATGCTAATTAAGGAGTGCTGCCAACATGTCTCTCCAAGTACTGCCATATGGGCCCTTGAAGGAATCAAATATCCTAATTGAAAGTGACCATGAAAAGTGTCCCAGCAAACCCAACAATTCTTTACTACAGAGCCTGACACGTAAACCAGACCAATAAACATTAGATTCTTTCCTTCTAGTCCATGTTACCTAATCTTTAAAATTTGTTCGCAAGTACCGCATGAAGGCCGTGGATCTATGCGACCAGGAGAGTTCCAATTCTTGTTTTCCTTTATTTCTCTTGAACGTTCTAGAAGGAAACAACATAAATTTTATTGTGAGGAACTGAGGTTGTATTACTGTTATTATTTCATGTGGCAGATTTCTTCCTTGTAAAAAGTAGATTGATACTTCATTAACCCAACCTGCTATGAATTTATTTGACAATGTGCAATAAATTTTTATGGTATTCCTAAAACATGCTAGGAGTAGATAAGATTGAATGTTTTTCCTGATATTGCTTAAGTTCAAAATTTTTTAATTTAATCTTTTTAATGTATACCATTCTAAAGGTAATTTGTACTTCTCTATTTCATATTTTCTTCTCAAATTTATTCATAAATGTATTATGATGATGGACATTGATTAAATCTAAATGTGTAAAGATTTTTTGAAATTGATATCTTTAAAAATTATTTTTTCCCTTTGTTATTTACCTTCACTTCTCATTCCTCAGCTAGATCAGATATAAAGCAATTCTCATGCCCATAATAGCTTGCTAACTGTTCCAAATGACAATAATCATGCTTTCATAAGACAGTCTGATAGCTGAAGATGTCAAATTATTAATCTTCATTAAAAAATTGGCTTAATGATGGTTTCAAACTTTTATCAAGTGAAACTACAGCAGTAGCAGCTCTAGGCACCTTTTGTGACCTTCACTTCATTACTGGGAAATCTAGGGTCTCCATTTTTTCCATTTGAAAAATGAAGAAATACTTACCTTGTAAGGTTGTGTTAAGATGTATGTTACATGGAAGAAGTAATTTGCCAAGTATAGTGCCTGGAATTTAGTAAAATATATTTAATTTTCTGATCTTTTCATATATTTTGTTTTGGTTTTCCTTCCAAAGAAAAGTTGTAATTTAGTGGTTGGTGGAAGTCTACCAGATAAGGTAGTGGACCGTAAGGCTACTTTCAGTGTTACTGTGTTCCCTGAAGTTTGTTTCTTAGCTCCTCCCGTTATAAGGAGGAGTGGGGAATCGAACCCCACGGAGAACTATCCGACATTAGCTTGATTTGGAGAAGAGATTAAAGAGGGCTGCAGGAAACTTTTGCCCTGATGGTGCTACTTCCTCACCCAGATGCTGTTCATGTGCTTATCTCACTAGGTACCGTTGGAGACTGGAAACATCACCTGACTGTGGAGCAAAATGAGAGATTTGATAGAATATTCCAAAGCAAGATGAAAGACTTTCCCTTGAAGTTCATCTGGGATCTAAATGAGGAATAGAATTAGTGCAAAATAAACATAGAGAAAATTCACTAACTAGAGAGCATATTTTAATATGCATATTAACTTGTGCTTCTCATCTGTGTTAATTATAAAACTTTATTAATTTAAAAAAATGAGAACACTAGACTTACAATGGTTGCCATGAGTTGGATGAATACTTTGAAATTTTAAAAGTTAAAATGATTTGGGAGAGAGTCTGAACTGGTTGCCTGTATGATAGAGGGAAAAAACAGAGAGCATGCAACATGAATGGTAAACATCTTAAAAGACTTTTCTGTAGTGTGTATTTTTTCTTTCTCTACAATTAAATTTAGGATCAATCGAACATAAAAATCCCTTTATTCTTGTAACTAAACTTTAATGCTTTAGTTCAAATCAATGTACAGAAATCAGACGTAAACACTTGCTTCTGTTTAATAATTTACCAGACGGCAAAGTTTGCACTAAAGATCAAGGATCACAAATAGATTAACCATCTAATGGTTAAATCATTAATTATTTAGATGAAGAAATATAGCTGTGTCCACAACATATCATTCACTAAACTAATTTTATATGTATTTATAACTATTTAAGATAAAATCATTTTGAATAACTAGAAAAATATATGTGAATCTGTTAATAATTCCAATATACAAAAAAACTTTTGAAACATAAAGGCAATATAAGAAACTTAAAAAAAAGGTCATTGTAAATGTAATTAGTTATATTTAAATACTGGAGTGTGGTGGGCTCTTAATCCAATAAAACTGATGTTAGAAGAGAAAAAAGACACAGGATGCAGGCTGTGATGTCACAACAGAAGCTGAGTTTGGAGTGATGCATCTATAAGCCAAAGATGCCAGCAAACACCAAGAACCTAGAAGTAGCAAGCAATGATTCTCTCCTACAGGTTTCACAGGGGGCATGGCTTTACTGACATCTTGTTTTTGGACTGCTAGCCTCGACAACTGTGAGACAATAAATTTCTGCTGTTTTCAACCACCTGAATATTGATATTTTCTTACAGAAGCCTGAGGAAACTAATACAACACTACAACTTAATGGAATAACTGCTACTCTAAACCAGAACCATTAAGGCAGGTCCTGGAGCTAAACCGAAGGAGTGGGTAAGGTAGCATAGTGCTGATTAGTTCCGATGCATGAGATAAATGTCCAAATACATGTCAGCAATGACTGGAATAACAAGGGAAGATTTATGTCCATTCTTATCACCCCTATTCAGTAGAGTACTGGAAAAGCCTAGCTAGGACAATAAGACAAGCAAAGGAGATAAAACAGATATAAACTGGAAAGGAAAAGCAAAGATTGGTTGTGTGGAAATGACACGATGGTCTATGTAAAAAATTCCAAGATATTAGCAGAAAAACTGCTAGAACTAATAAGTGAGTTTGGCAAAGTAGCAAAATATTAATTCTAGACACACAAAAGTGAATGATATTTTTATACACTAGCCAGGAAACATTAAAAATTAAAGACTGAGTACCATATGCAATTGCTCCAAAAAAAAAGAGAAATATTTGATGCACATCTAAGCAAGCATGTACTGAGTCTGCATGTTGATAATCAAAATTTTGTAATTACAGAAATCAAGGAAAACTAAATTAAATGGAGCAATATACCATGTTCATTGATTGCAAGATTCAACTTTGTAAAGATGTCAGTTCTGGCCACATTAACCTATAAGTTTAATGGAATTCCTGCCAAAATCCAAATAAGATTCTTTGTAGCCATATAAAAGCTAATGCTCAATTTTAAGATTTCCTATGAGCAACAGTTAATCAAGACAGCATGGTTTTGGCAGAAGAATAGACATATAGACCAATGGAACAGAATAGAGATTCCATATATAGAACTCCACAAGTACGCCAGCTGAATTTTGAGAAAGGAGGAAAGCAAGTCCATGGAGAAGGATGGATTTTTCAACAAATGGTGTTCTATTAATTAGACATCATAGGCGAAAACAATGACACTTGACTTAAACCTCATACCTTATAAAATTAAACTCAAAATGTGTTCTGGATCTAAACATACAACGGAAATCTGTAATACTTTTAGAGGAGATATTCATGATCCTGGCATAGGCAAAGAGTTCTTAGTTGACACCAACACCATGATCCATAAAAGAAAGAGATGCTAAATTAAGCTAGATCAAAATAAAGAAAGCTTTTGCACTGCAAATGATCTTGTTAGAAGATGAAATGGAAAGCTACAGACCAAGAGGAAATATCGGCCAATCACATACCTGACAAAGCACTTGTATCCAGAGTGTAGTGAATTCTCTAAACTCATCAGAAGGAAAGCAAACATTCCAATCAGAAAATGGGCAAAAGGCTTGAAAGGTATTTTACCAAAGAGGATAAAAGAATGCCAAATATGCGTTTGAAAAGATGTGTACCGCTATTAGCCATTACAGAAATGGAGATTAAAACTATGAGATACCAGCACACACTTATAAGAGTAGATTTCAAAATGTTGGCAATACCACATGCTGGCAGCGGTGGAGTAAATGCATCTCTCCTGCCTTGTTGGTGAAGATACAAAATGGTCCAGCCACTTTGCAAGACAGTTTGGCAACTTCTTATGAAGTCACACATACAGTTAACATACAACTCAGCAATCTGACTGCTGTGCATTTATCCTATAGAAAGAAAACTCATATTCACATTCAAACTAGTATATAAATTTTCATAGCCTCTGTTTGTAATATTCCAAAACGGAATGTATCCCAAATGTCTTTAAATAGGTGAATAGATAGAAATATATATATCGTATATGAGTACAATGGAATTCCTCTCAGCAATAAAAAGGCATGAACAAAGCACAATAAGATGGATTATTACAAAGGCATTATACTAAGTGAAGAAAGAAGGTTATGTACCTTGTGATTTTACTTTTATGACTTTCTCAAAGCGACAATATTTTAGTGATGGAGAACAGACCAGTGATATTCAGGTGTTACAGTTGGGAGGTGGATGTGACTACTAAGGGGCAACACAAAGAAGTCTCTTTGTGGCGATGAACAGTTTTGCATGCTGATTGTGCTGAGGGTTACATGAATCTACACCTGATAAAGTTTCTTGATCTCTAATCACCTCACACACCCAAAACAAGTGCATGCGAAAAGTGCTGAAATCCCAACAATGACTGTATTTGAGTTAACGGTATTGTACCAATGTCAGCTTCCTGCTTTTGATCATGTACTACGTTTATGGAAGTAATGGTCATTGGGGAAGCTTAGTGAAGGGAATACCAGGATTCTCTGTAGTAGTTTTGCATCTTCCTGTGAGTCTTAAACTATTTCCTAATAAAAATTATAAAATAGAATAGTCAACATAATCCTGATTGGTTATGGATTATTTTCATCGACAAGATATTTACAGAAGATTTTCAAAGGTAGTACAGAGAGTGCATTCAATATTTCTTCTTCCTCTCACAGTGAGAAGCCTATACCCACAACATACTTGCTTATTTGTTCAACCCCACTGCATATGTAAAGTAGTTTCAGAATTGCTAGATTATTTTTCCATAAGAAAGAAATTTACCAACTGTAGCATGTTGTTGGTATTCAGTTCTTTTGTCTTCAGAATTATAGTACCTAGACAAAATACTAGTTTCTAAAGTTATTTAGATTAGATCTGTTTTTCCCATCCCGTTCAGTTGGGTTATGACATATGTCTGTAATATAGATGCATCCATCTGACACAAGTGAAATTCCACACTGGGTTCCTTTAACATCACGGTAGCTTTTGAAATTTAAATACATTAAAAGTCACCTTTTCTGGTGGAATGGATACATATAATCCTGTATCCTCGACCTCAGTACTTGTTAGGGCCTAAAAAGTCTCGGATGGCTGGCCCAGGTCCAGCTGCAGCATCAGCCCATACTGTTGTCCCTTTCATTCTCGGTTCTACAGCCACCTTGCACCTGTCAATTCCCACGGTGCCACAATACTCCTGATTTACAGGCCTTTCACCCAGCTCCATATTCTCTGCAGGAAGCTTATACCCTGATTTCTTAACCTAGGCTACGTCACCTAGTTACAGTGT